GGGCACCGCTCAATTATTCATAAAGTTGGCTCCACAAAAGTGCTGCACATACGTGTGGCAAGACGAGAGGGCTTAATGGTCAGGGGCACAGGACTTTTGGCAGTGTTAGAGCTTCATTTCGTTAAAAATGTAAACGTTTAACAAGCCGTAAAATCACTTTCCTGCTCATATCCGCTAGGGACCATCCCATCACCTTATCCATCCATACATCTTTATGTGGACCGTCCCATAGATCGTAACTTTTTTGTCGAACTGTCACCAGCTTTAATTCAATTTAAACACAAACAAAATCTCCTAAATACATATTACCCAACAAAACTCAGCCATTAGCCTATCGTTTTGGTCTGAAAACAAACTACAAATTACTGCAAGAGATAGCAAGAGAGTGATTACTCTTCTAGCCAAAAAGCAAATAAAATTTGGTCAGGAAATTACATGGCACAAAAAATAGAGGATATAACTATGGCATTAAAAAGCAATTTGTGGGACAGAAACAAATAAACCGTACAAAAAATGACATGGGAAATGCTGAAACTCTTGTTACCCTTATAGATGAAGTGTTTAATATATGCCGTGGCAAAGCTCTTCTCAAACCTATAATACCCCATTCAGAAGGGTAAAAAAAAGCAGAGAGAGAAAAAGAGAATACATCAAACAAACATTTCGTAATTCAAATCGTATTCAATTTGGGTACAAGACAGCTGAGGAAAAAGTGCAGACATTTGCCATGTGCTTGGGAAAAAGAGAGAGTGAAAACAATTTGGGAATGCCAGCACGTGCGCATTTGTGTGATTTGCATTTGTATCTGTGTATGTGTATGTGTGTGTATGTGTGACAGCCATTTTGGACACTCAGTCAGCTGTGGTCTCTTCCTGTTCCTGCTGCTTCTGCTGTAACTTTATAGCACCTCAATGTTTGTTGCCACTTTGCCACACAATAAAAATGCTCTTTCCTCTGTCTATGCCACTCTCTCTCTCTCTCTCTCTTTTACTCTATCTCTTCCTGTCTCTGTCTTAAATTGAAAAAAAAAAAAGAAAATACGAAGAAAAGTCCGATATAGGCCAAAACTTCATCCTACGTTTCCGCCTTCTGTGTTCGGTGTTGGCTCTGCGGCATCTTAATGGGTTCGGTTGCAGCCGCATGTCTTGGCCATTTATTCCCCAGTTAAATGACAGCAAATTAAGTGCCCCCTCTGCCAAACTTTTGCCTTATGCTTTTCTTTTATTGTATATTGATAATAATGATGGCATCTTCCCCACCAACAACAAAAAATACAACAAATAAAAATGTATTCTCGCATTAATTTTTATCTGCAATGGCCAGCTGCTGGCTTGGTGCTTTCGTATTGAAAAGGTATTAACCAGCAAAAGACCCTCTAAAAAAGAGGGACACACAATAAGAGGACACAAATTCAGCTTGGTCATTGAAAAGTGCCTTGAAATTAAGTTCACTTTTTTACGATCTTTTTTGGTAACTTGTCTTTTGATAATATCTTGAAGGAACTTTATAATATTTATGGGTATAATATTTTTTGTCAGAGTTGGTCAAAGTTTTTTGGGAATCAAAACATTAAAGGAAGAGTTTGTTTCCATTCATTGTATCATATATCGTCATCCAGTGAATTTACTTTTGCTCTATTTCCTCTACTGAGTTATTGAAAACATAACCTTTTGGGGCAAATCTATAAGAGAATTTTTCAAGCATAAACAGCCACACAGAAGACCCATGCAGCACGTTCAAGGCCAATCAATAGAATAGCCCGCATAAATAATTCCATTTGCACCCAATGCCAGTATGGGAATATACGAAGAAATCGCCACAAAAGATCAATTGAAATTTGAAATTTGTTTAGATGTTCCTCCGTATGGGCCTCCTAACCTCCTATGGGCCTCCTAACTCCTAACCTCCTAACTCCTAATTATTAACATGTGAATAGGTTTACAAGGCTGTTATGTGTAGCGGAATGCGAAGCATCCAAAGATACACATATACATCCAGCACACGCGCAACGAAAGAAAAAAACATGAAACATGGCAACAAAAGATGATGCTTGAGTCGGGATTCGGGGATAAGCCAGACCCATCCCTCCAATCTTTCCTTCACTTCCTCCTGCCCCTACCCCCGTTTGACAATCTGCCAAAGAGGCTGGCAAATGTCAAATATTTGCTGAGCTGTGATTAATGTTGATTCTTTTTTTCCCCGGTGCTCACGTTGCTCCTTTGCATAACATTTCATTTTTCTTCATCTGAGGACCAAGGAGCAATTCACCTGTGAAAAGAACGAAAAAAGAAAACTCAATAAGGAAAAGCGCAAGGAAAACTCATTTTCCGGCTGCTTGGTCAAAAATAATATATATTTCCTCATCCAGCTGCTGGGCAAATTAATTAAATTGATTGAACGTTAAACAATTTGTCGTGCCATAAAACAAAGTCCAAACAATAAAAACTCAAATGAATAAGGCTGAGGCGCCTCCAATATACAGTGCCCCCGAAAAGGGTGCAGATGGTGGGAAAAACAGGAAGAGGGAAGAGGAAACTGTGAAAAACCAATTCTCAGTAAATTCTCAGAGTACGATGGCTGGTCACGTTGTGTCAATAGCGAGCACCCCACAAATGCACTTCGATGCCAAATTGTTGCAATTGTTTTAACAATTTGCTGCATTACCTCACCACCCCAATACCCACAGCCACAGCCATACTTCCTGTTTCCTGTCACCCTACTTTCTGGAACCCCACTTCCTCTTGCTGTTTGTATTGAATCGAAAAAGTTTCCTGAACTTTGGCAGCAGCTTATTGAAGGGGCGGATGGCGAAAAGTGCAACAAAACAGTCAGCTGTAATAATAGGGAGCAATCACACTAAATCACTAGATTTAAGGGGTTCAGTTCAATCATTTGTTTTATTAGAAAGACCTTAAGGGTTCCTTTTTGGATACTTATTTGCGGTTCCCAAATTGTTAATGGAGCCAATGAGGCTTCTATTCAATAGTTGACCCACAAATGAAACCAATTCTATTAGAAATCTCTCTCCATTCAGTTCCAACAGATCCTTACCATATGTCAGTCAATTCTCTGCCATTACGTATACGCCTTGTTAACCCAAAAACTAACTCTCGATAACGGGCAATTTGTATTTGTCATAAAGCATAAGTATACAAAATGAGAACAACAAGCAAAGTAAAATTGTGAGAATTCATTGCCTAATCACATCAGAAACCTTTCAATTTCGACGGAAAAAACACCTCCCACCACCCCTCTTATTTAAGGCCTTCTCCTTCACTGATTGCTTCCGGTCTTGCTGTTGCTCTGATTGTTATGGTTGTTGCTGCTTTTCAAATTCAATTTTGTAGAAAATTGTATATGTCCAGGCTGCCTGCCTACACGTATTCCTTTCTCAAAACGTTTTTCAATTTATTTCGTCTGCCAAAATAATGAAGCCAGGCCTGGACAGGCAGCTGTCCTGCCATTCCAAAAAAAGAAACTCCATCTCCATTGCCAGCTCGAGTCAAGCCAGCAAATGAGTCTAAACAAAAAATGAAGAAAAAAAAAAACAAGCCGACACACACGGACAGCAGAACAAAAAAGGTCAAAAAGGTACAAAAACCAACTTAAAGCTGTCAGTGCCGCCACTCCCCAGAACTCCCCAGCTTGGACTTGGCCCCACATCAATGCCAATGGAAAATCGAATTTTTTGCCGCCACCCAAACGAGCAAGGACCTTTTTATGCTCGAGCACGACGATGATTATGATGATGAGGGAGGGCAGCATAATGGGGAGCCAATGTTGAAGGGAGCATAATGGGGGAAGACTGAGGGTGAGAGCATAATAAGGGGAGCAATATGTATGTACGTATGAGGGTCTAGGGGGACTAAAAGTCAGTCCCCGATTATTGATTGAAGTTTCTTCGTTCGTTGTGGAATGGGTCTAATGCTTTGATTAAACATGATTGAATTGTCTATGGCCTTGTTGCAGATTTATTTGTCTGACGAGACTCGTAAATAAGCAAAAGAAAAATCCCTGCCAGACGGGGGTTCTCATTATCTGAAGTGTATATTTGTTAATTTTTTGGGCAACAGAAGAGAACAAACCAGAAACTGTTGCAGAATTTTTATATGGAATTGGAAAATGCTTCAGCAGGATTGCTTTGTGTATTTAATCCACAAAGAGGGAACATCCGGAACCAACCATAAACAGAACTTAATTGCTCTTAGATTATGTCTTGGGTTAAGCGAATCAGAAATGGGGATGCAATTGGCATAACTAATTCAACAGCTTTTCATTACTTCATTTTGTATCACTTTGCTTGAAACTTTATTTGGAATTCTTATAGTACTTGCAACCACATTTTCTTCAATTTTAAATTCACAAAATGCATTCACACTGAATTGTTGGCTTTAATTTGATTTAATTACAAAATTGCTTTTATTTGAGGTGCCAGAAAACAAGAAAGTTTTGATTTATATCAGAATCGTTTATCGTTTAATTTCTATCAGTTTGTAGTCCACAAGTTGTGCGCACCCCACACACATTTTTATTTTTCAGTTGTCGGCAGCCAAGTGGACATCGCAGCTGTCATCTACTTGTACCCTCTTTTCCAGCTTGTGTTCTTTAATTGCTTAAGCATTTAATTTGTTTCACTTTAACAAACAAGGCACTAGAGTTCGTGTTTAGATTTTCATTTGCCTGCCCACAGAGACAAAAGGTGATTGTGGATGGGGCAAATGGGTAAAGGGGGATTGGGAATTGAGAATGGGACAACAACTGGGCAACTGATGGCAACAACAGAATCAACAGAACAACAGAATGAACACAATGAAATGCCACAAAGATAGACAGAGTGGGGGGGGCAAACGGTAGAGTTATGTTTATAGAGCTGCCAAGGGGTCTGGGGACCAGGTCTCAGTGCTTCATTTAAGTTCTTTCATTTGGTGTAAACTCGACATAACATCTTTTCCCTACCGCTTTCCATCTAACAATATATATGTACATATCTTTCGTTGCAGATCTCGAGCAATTTTCTGCCATCATTCGAGGCAATTTCCCTGGCCGTGCAGAGCATTGCCAGCAAACTGAATTGGTCGCAAGTTGATATCTATGTTGGCGGTAAGTTTTCCTTCCTGCCCCCCTTCCCCCACTTTCCACCCATTTTCCTGCAGGCTTTCCCTTTCTGATCATTCGGCATTTGCATTGAAATTGCTTTTCTGCTTAAATGCTGAAATGGTAATGGAAATGGAAAATTTTCGGCGCGGCTAGAGCAGAAGTTGGTGATTCAACTTTTTAAATGGTTTTTATTTTTCTTAGGTATTTTACACTTAATCTAAAGAATGGTGCGCGTATCTACGTGGCAGGGGTATGCAAATGAATGAATATTAAGTTTCAGCGGCAGAGACCTTTTGGCTGATTAAAAGAAATCGAAAGCAAGCTTAGATACGCTTCAGAGTAAAAGTTGCAGAAGGAAGCTGCTGATATAACAATTGCAAAACCAGTGGAAATGTCTCCTAACTTGTTTTCTGTATATATCTCTAGCTAGAGCTTCTTCCCTTAGTGAATCCTGACAATCGTTAGCCATCGTTCCATTCTCTGATATCGGCCACCATCTTATATTATCCCAAACCCATCCATTCCCTTGTTATCCCAGCCCACTCATTCTCGATTCCCCTATATGGTTAGCGGGTGAAAGCTGTTTGCTTAAATGTTAAATAAACACATTTCCCCGAGCTCCGGGAGACAGAGAGAGAGTCAGCTGTGGGCGTGGAACTGGTGGCGGTCGCGCCCACGTAATACCAAATTATGGGGTCGCCAGCGAATTAAGAGGGAAATACGCAGAGAAAGAGAAGGAGAGGGTGGCTACAGGAAGCTGCTGCTTGTAGTCGACTCTAAGCACACGTGTGCGTATACGCAATGCAATTAGTGGTGACATTATTATGATTAACGTTGCCTCTGTGTGTGAGTGTGCGTATCTGTGAGTGTTTGCTGACAGCTAGAGAAAGACAGCAGTAGAGAGAGACTGAGAGGCGGCAGAGAGTCAACAGAGAAACAGAGGACCATTAAGTTGACACTGCGCTGCATTTGAAATTTAATTAGGTGGCTGAAGCTAATCAGCCGAAACAGCCAGAGAGAAAGAGAGAGACTGGCTCTGAGCTTAAATATTCCACATGCTCCAATTAATTTAACTGCCAATCAAATGCAGCATACTATAAGCAACAGCTGCGCCGCGCCCGCAGGCAATCAATTAAAGATTAATCGAAAACAGAAGTTGTTCCAATTAAAGTTTTTATTGCATAATATATATATAGTTACACTTTGCACCCAGTGGAATTCTTCCAATAGATGAAGATGAACTATGAAATCCAACAGAAAGTATAGTTTTTCTTGGTGTAAAGTCTTCAAATGACGGAGTCAATAAAAGTAACTACTTTTCCCGCTCTCTCTCTCTATAAATTAAGCCACTCCTTCTCAGACTTTAGCAACATAGATTATCTGCCTTCCTTGCCACTCGCTTGCTCCCCCTTCTCAACATAATTGCTGGCCATTATTCAACTATGGCTAAGTTTGTTGACCCCTCGACAAAAACAAAGCAAAAGACGCCAAGAAGAAGTGCAAATTATGTGACAGCAGCTGAACAACTGGAGAAATGGCATAAAAACAAAGTTATAAAATAAAACGCCAGCAAGCCACAGAGAGAGCCAAGGTTTTCAAGAAACTACCCAAGTAAAAATGTAAATTCAGAGTTCCAAGCAAACACACAAAAAAAGAAAAAAAAAAAAAACAAAAAAAAACAAAACGTAACCAAAATTGAGATGTCCCGACGCTGGTATGGAGATATAGCAGATCTAGGAGGAGGATGAGAAATCAAATGCCAGCTAATAAAATCAGACAGACGGCAGTTAAAGTTCTATGGAGAGAAAGCATAAAAACGTTGCAAAAACAACAAACAAAATATAAAGGAAAGTAAAAGGAAACTTCAGACGTACTCGAGAGGGTTGCTCCAGGAATAAGGGCAGCTCTGAAAAAGAAAGTTTTGTGGTAATTTGGTTTCAATATTTTGAGTTTAACTTTGTCAATTAAAGATCTCTGCTCTACCCCTATAAACAATTGCATGTTTTCCGAATCACTGCGCCAGCGGAAGTCCTTAAGCCACCCCCAGACACAAAAACACACACGGACAACAGTCAACATCCATAGAACGTGACCTCCAGTCCGATTCACACATCTGTGGAGGAGCAGCCAGAGCGTGGTGTAGGGTGGCAACGTACACGGACCAGAAGTAGAGTCTAGGCAGTCCCCTGATGGCCGCTTAGTTGGGCAAACAGGAGGCAACACGCACACCTCCTTTGATTTATGCCCCACATGAATCCTGTGGGGGATGCGTTAGGCGGCGGAAGACCCTAACTTTTATGAATAATGCTGCAACATCTTTGTCTATAAATTGGCCATAAAATGGTGGCAAGAGAGCGAGAGAACGCCGAAGGATCCAGGCCCAACATTAATCTCAAGTGTTTAACAATTAACGTGATGGGCTCTGGGCTCTGGGCCCTGGGCCTGGACTGGACTTACAGCCACGCCCCATTAACATTGCTGATGGGAATGCCTGGCTTTTTTATGACAGCATAATTAGGGGGAGAGTTCTGCTGCTGTCCAAGCAGCATTTATGATTTGTTTTACACTAAGTGACAGCTAATGGAGTTGGCGACCATAAAAAAGTGGCCATATGCCAGAGCTTTTCCATTTCCACTGATTGGTTTGACTTGACATTGACTTTGGCTGAAGAGACAAGACAAAAATTGCAATCTTTATTGGAGATCTTTATGGCAATACAAAATAAGAAATCTCTGATGACGAAGTCGGGTGGATCGCCCCCTCCATCCCATCCAACCCAATCAATTCAACTATGGGCAAAAGTTTCTGTTCAAAGATTATATCTCTGCTGCATTATGTAAATTGTGTGTATAGCAAAAGCAATTTGCAACTTTAATTGCATTTCAATGGACTGCAGCAACTTTTACCCAACCCAACCCAACCCATTCCATTCCATTCCATTGCATCCCATCCTTCCCACAATCGAGCAACCGTGCAACAATGCGGGAAAACTGTCAAGAGTACAGCTGCAAAGTATGCTATAAGTTTTCCACTCTACGCCCCACACACACACATGCACACAACACAGACAGAAAACACGGATACACACACATGGATATATAAAATAAACTTAATTATATTTAAGTTTTTATGCTGCCTGTCGCTGTCATGATAAGGTGTCTGCCACCTCGAAAATGTTGCAATTAAATAAAGAGAGAGAGTGTGTGGCATATCTTATGCGGCAGAGTAAATTATGGCTTCATTTTTAAGGCCAACGCCACCCTCCTCGGAAACGTGGAAATGTGCGAATAATTTTAAATAATATTTGTACAACTTTTCGGTAGAGGCTTTTGGGTTAAGTTGTATGCCATATCCTTTAATGGAACTTTCAACATGTACGGGGGCCAGCTGAGGCCATCTGTAATGTGTGCAAGTGGTTTTTGATGAAGGGACAAGTTTATGATGAGCATTTAATGGCCAGCGGTCAGATGGTGAGTGTGTAGAGTGGAACATGTGGCCTGACTTTCGAGCATTAGAGTGTGTGCTCTGTCTGAAATATCCCTGATAACTTATTTTCTGTTTAATCCTCCATGAAGTCAGTCTGTTTTAAAATTCAAAAAACTTGTTCCTCGATATTTTTAAAGAGAACTCATCCTCCATGCTTAAGTGCAATCAGGAATAATTTTCCTTTGACAGGAGTTGCTTTCACAAAAATTAAGCACTTCAATGTTTTCTATATAAACTACTTAATTCACAAAAAAATAAATATGTAATATTATGTATCCAAGATATCTGAAAATCGTTGTTTGAAATCTGCTAGGGCTTGCTACTCCCATTCTCATCATCTGCTAACCCTTCATAAACCGTATAAGGACATCCCGATCTGTTTCCCATAAATTTTAAAGCCAAGCAACAGCAGCGTTGACATCATCTCTTCTTGGCATACGCCTATGCAAATGATATAGCGTATACGCCACGTGTGACATGTGTTGATTACATTTCAGAGAGAAGGAGCAAAACAGCAGCAGCAGAGGCAGCAGCAGCAGCGGCACTGCACTGCATGTGGCTTCGTTTAGATAAATGAATGCGGGTCCAGTCAGCGCCCCGCAATCTGCTACAATTTCCACAGCACTTTCCACCAATCCATTCCTCTGGGGACTTTCTCTCTCGCCGCCCTACCACTCTGCGCCATTCTATTTTATGGTTTTGGCCAATTTATTTACCTGCCCGAGCATTTATTTGTGCTTCTGTATATTTTCAGCCAATTTTTTGTTGCTTACATTTTCCGATTTCGGTGCAGTGTCCAAAAAAATATTCAAGAAGAAATAACTTTCTAACTATGTAACCCTAACGGAGGGGAAAAGCGCAGCACGTCGCATTTATTTCGTTTACCCGCTGGAAATTTTTGATGTGCGGCAAAGTGTAGAGGAGGAGGCGGAGTAGGGTACTCTGGGTTGGGGGCTGGTGGTATGCTGTGGGTTCTGTTGTATTATGGATTTTCCAATGCATTTTTTACTCTTTACCTATTTTCTTTGAGCACTTTTTTCGTGTGTGTGTTTGCACGTCTTTTTACCTTTTATACCCTTACAAGGGGTATAAAGATAATTATTCGATTTTTGTAAGAAGAAAGTATTTGCCAACCTTTGGGGTAGGTACTCAAGATCAGATCATTCTTTAGTCATGTGATCACATTGTTATAATACCACCTATTGATCCGATAGTGCATCTAAAGCTTCGGTTTTCGATTCAAATATACCTTTTTCTGTTTTTATGAGGCGTTTCGGGGATGCTGAGGTTGGGTGCTGGAAGAGTTGATTGTAAATAACAACGCCTGGCTGACCAGACTCGCTGGCAACCCATACTCGCACAAGCAAATGCTGTGGACTTAAAAGCACTATGCATACATGGATATAATCAAAGGTACACATGTGAGGCACACACACACAGACATACAGTCACTAACACTGGCACAGCTCCGAGTGAACGCGCCGCAATTTAAATTTTGAGTCGGGCGCATGAATATTTAAATGCATAAAAATTAGCTAAGAGTGAATCGAATAAAAGATACCCAGTGGGAACTATAGCTCTTGGAATTAAAATATAAAAAAATGGTTAGAAATGAGAAGAGAAAATATATAACAACAAGGAACAAAATATTCTATAGAATAATAATAGTAATTTCAACAATTATTTCCATAATAAATGGTTGGGATATTGGGACTCCATATTTTTTCTTTTCCATTTCTTAATTAAAAAAACATGTTTAGCACTATGTAATTTATTTAAATTATTATTTAGCATTTTTATTTATTTATTCTAACATTTATTTGTGTATTTTCCGATATTTAGTATTTTTTTTATTTATTTGTAATATATTTAATAAAACGTGTATATTTTAGTTAGTCTCGAATAGAACATACGGTTTAACTCGTTGAGAGCTCAGTACAAAAAGCACAAATGCAAATATGAGCATGAAGAGCACTCATCTGTATGTGTGTGCATTATGTGCAAAGGAGAGAGAGCTTATGTGTGTCCAATGCATCTACGTATGTGTGTGTGTGTGTGCAACAGACAACAGACAACGTTAACTATGCGCTTTTGCTACTTGCTACCTACGAGTAAAGTGAGCCTTGGCCATGCCCAAAGCATGCCGAGGAATTAACCACAGTGAATGGTTCACTGAATCCCAGGCACAGATGGCACAACCATAATAAAGTAAGAAATTCCATCATGGTGAAGAGCAGCTCTCTACATTAATCAGAAACAGTATCCTGCCTTCAGGCCTCGCAACAGCGGAAGAGCGTAACAGCTGCAATGGCTTATCAGGCACTCACTCACACAAAATGGTTGTCTCTGCCCTGGCAGTTATTACATTTTATTATCGTTCGCGGGGGAGCGCTATGCAAATCGCCCTGAAATATTCCTGCCGCCTGAAACTTTGTCTTGAATATGGAATCGTAAGGCAAGGCCAAGAAACACACACAAAAATAAAAAAGGAAATCCCAGCCAGACATCCCATACGACGTATGACTGAGGCGAAGGCTGCATCTTCCTCTCCGCTTGGTGTTTCTCCGCAGAGCTGCGTAATTGCACAGTTTTGCACTTGGGCAAACATGCACTTCCATGCCAATCGCATAGGCGAAGGAGCCGGCCCACACTGCGAAGCTCAGCCATAAAGTTTTTGGCCAGTGCAGGCAGGATCTTAGGTGCTGTGCTCTGAGGCTCGCAGGCAGGCAGGCAGACTCCGGCTTCTTTTCCTGTTCCTTTTTCTGTTCACGTGGAACAGCTGGCCAAGTGTTTTGGCAAGTTTTTCCAGCTCACATCTCAGTTAATTAGCGTGTTGTCAGCTGCATTGCTAATTGAGTTGATAGAGCGACGCAAGAGAGCGAGAGAAAAGTGACGGGGAAAACTGCCTAAGGCGCTTCCAAGCTCCCACAAGATTTTCCTTTTTGCTTTTTTCCCACAGAGAACGACACTACCCGTTCACGTCAGTTCTAATTAAATTTCATGCTCACACAACGCTGAACAATTGCACAAAATGACACGTTTGACAACGCTGCGTATGCGTAATGTCATATTAGCTTTTCGTCAGAAAATTATAGCACGCATACCTCCGACCTCCCAGACAGCATTCTCCTCCACTCTACGTGTGAAATTCCATAAATTATGTTCAGAAATCTGCACATTGAGCATGATAATGCAGCAAAATCTATTGGCGGCTTGGTGTTTATGGGCTTTGCATTTGCTTTCATGATCTATGGAACACTTTGGCCCAGAGACCATAAGACAGTTTAATGGAGCCTCTGGGGCCCATTGAGAGGTGCATTCTGTGTGTTGTTTGTCTTGTGGATTCCACCATTGAGTGGCCCATTAATCATGCAGATTTTGATGGGAAAAGAGCTTTGGTGGAGAGAGCTATTCGGGCTACCTTTTTTGTATATTAAAGATAGATTTTGAATCCGTTTTCCTTTGACTTTCCCTTCCGTAACTGTCCCCCTACCTACCTAAACTCATTCCGGAACGAAACGTAGACACAACCTGAGAAATTCAGATTACTTTCATTAGTTTTTTTTACATTCTAAATATACTTTTGGGCTATATATTATTCGATTGTGCCGTCACCATGCAAGAGTCGGGTCATGGCCAGGAGCACTTCCAGTTCATTCAGCGAACGGATCGTAAGAGTTTGCATTGCCAAATTGGTTTGTTGGTCAACAAGGCCAAGGAAGTTCGCGCCCAGGAGCTGAACGAGCGCAGTCTTCGCTTGAAGAATATTCTCGAGGCGGAGGACAAGCTCTACGAGGAGGAGTTCTCGAATACGGTGAAGAATCGCATCGATCAGGACATCAAGGACCGCAAGGAGCATCTGCATGCCATCAAGGAGGAGCACTTCAAGGTGCAGAACAAGTTCCTCGAGGACAAACGCGTTCAACAGGTGATGCTCAACTGCTACGAGATACGCGAGGCGCTGCGTCACCAGGACCTGCTCGAGACGAAAATCATCCAGGAGGAGCAGATCCTCGAGAATCAACGCAGGAAGCGGCGCGAGTGCGAGCAGGAGAAATTCTGGCTGGAGCTGAACCGCAGACGCTGGGAGGACTACGATTGCGCCCAGAAGTTCGAGGACGAGCGACGCGAGAAGATTAAGGGGCAGGTGAAGCACGTCCTGGCCATCCAAATGCTCGACAATGCCGAGAAGCTTGCGCGTGAGGATGAGGAGAAGCGCGAAGAGGCACGCGCCCTCAACGAAATACTCGAGGAGATACGTCTCGAGGAATTCGACAAGGCCCACCAGCCTGCTCCCCCCAAGAATCTGGCCTACCGGGACGAGCTTCTGAAGGAGATCCATCGCCGCAAGTGCGCCAAGTTGGCCATTTGGGAGGCCGACAAAGCCGAGCATGCCGCCTTCTGTCGCGAAACGGAGCGCCTGGAGGCGGAGGCCAGGGAGAAGATTGCCCAATCCAAGCTGGACTTCAATCGTGCCACCCACGAGTATCTGGCCTATGTGCGACGCATGCACGCCCTCGAGTTGGGCATCGAGAAGATGTTGGACGATCGCACGGCCGATCTGTACAAGGTGGACATCTGCACCAAGAACAACATTGCGGAGATGACGCGTCTGAAGCGGGAGGAGGCAGCCCGCTGCCATGAGATTCTCAAGCTGCAGATTTGCGAAGAGGCCGAGCGACGTCTACGCCTGGAGGCCGAAGTGCGGGAGAACAAAATGCCCGAGAATCGTTTCGTCCATGCGGAGGTCACCCACGCAATGAAATACTGCCAGCAGCTGCGGCATCGTGCCGCTCTGGATGCCCAGGTCACCGAAATGAAACGCCTCCAGGCGGAGGAGAACGCTTACTTCGAGAGCCAGCTGCGGGAGGCCGTCGATGATCCGATCGCGTGCATGAAACTGGCCAAAGAGTACCTGGAGAATGGCACCGACTATCTGCGCGCCCATCCCAACTGGCGGATCATGGCCTGTGATCCCAACAAATATGTGCCACGGGCACCCCTCACCGAGCAGCAGTACAAGGCTCGCCTCGACAATGCCAACCTGGACAAGTGTCGCAGACATTGCAGCTTTATGCCTCTGAAGGGTTGCGATTTGCCGCCCGAGCAGCCCCGCCAGAAGCCCGAAACGGCAGCCGCCGAACCGCCAAAGAAGCCACAGCGCCCGGGCTTCAGAAATTGTCACTGCAAGTTCTATTAATTTCGTACTTTCTTCTCTTTAAATTGTGTTGAAAGTTAGTTGGATTTCTATTCTTCTATTTTTCATGATGCACACGATACACATCTATAAATGATTGTTTCTGCCTGTAAGCCCCATGAAATACCGAGGTACAGGTGGTAATAATTGTATATAAATGTATATCGCATTGATATCTATGCTTAATAAATTCAGTTAAAACCTTCCTTGGATATCTTTCTCTCTTAAACATGTTGGGTTCGCTTTATCAACTCCTTAGTTGACCTTTCAAGCGCTGCTGACATTTGCATAAGCCAAGCCACACACACAAAAACCCCTCAAAACAGAGCTCATTATGAAACCAGAACGAGTGCCAAGCCTCAGCCTAAAACTGGGTCTACCACTGCCATGCCAAATTATAAACCCAATAAAAGGTTACCAAAACTACAGAGAAACATCAGATGTAGCCATGGAACAAAACCAGAACAGTACCGAGAACAGGGAACAGACACATGACACCAACAGCAACACTTTACGTGCCACAAAAACGCAATTTAATTTCGACAGCATATCTCTATCGCTCCGTGTCTCTCTCTCTCACTCTCTGTTTGCAGATGACAATTGGGGCCTAGGACTGGCCATTGCGGCCAACTTGCATGTACCATATCGCATTGAAATTGGCAGGACAGTACGTGACCTGCATGGCCAGGATAAGCCAGGCAAAGGTGAGTACATACCCAAAAAAGACAAAAAAAAACCACTGCCAACTGGCTACTGGGTGGCTACTACTGTTGACGGGCTCATTGCATTTGGGGTTTCGACTTTCAGCAATTATTATCACGGCCCCACTGAACGATGACAGTACGCTCCGTTTGCTGGCCAGCATGGAAAAGGTGGAAGCGGAGGTGGAGGTGGAGGTGGAGGATGTGGATGCGGCGCCTCCAACCAAACTGCATACGAAAATACTGCTCATCGATATGGTGGCCAACTCATTGAATGTCGAGCATCGTTTCTACAAATATCTGGCCCGCCTTCGCCGCCGCAGTCGCCACCCACCGCCACCACTGCAGCAGATGGTGGTGGGTGGTGGGAACTCGAGCTCCGTTTCGGGACTGGTCACCAGCAATCTGTTGGTGCTGACGCTGCTAAGCGATAAGCATCGACACTTTCTGAATGCCGCCGGTCTGATGGGCACAATGCAGAATTTTCGGATGCCACCAAAGGGAGATGACGGCTCGACCGGTGGAACCCCCACTGGCTCCGAGGTCCATCACAATGCCAGTGTGAACGAACTTTACCCTTACATAAAGCTCTTTCCCCTCTACGATCTGATTGTCACGCACATTGCCACAGCAGCAGCGTCGGCGGCGGCGTCGGACCAAGTGAATGCCAGTCGAACGGAAGCCATTCCCAAATATGATTTCATAGTGCTGGACATTGTGCGGGATGCCAGCAGCTACAAATGGCGGCCGCTGCTCATCCTGGAGTGGAGTGACAGGAGAAGGATGGTGAATGGTGGAGGTGCTGCTGCTGGTGCAGCCGACTCTTACATCACCCATTCCGTGCAACCGGGCTACGATGAATGGCTGCTGGTGAGCAGCGTCCAATTGTGGCATTGCGGTGCCATCTGTTGGACCATCGTTGCCATCTGTGTGGGCCTCCTGATGATCATTGTGGCAGGCAGTGTGGCCGCCGGAATAGCCCTGAGGTGAGAGTCTTGATTTATATTTAGCCATCATAATGGGGCAGCATTAAGCACACAAATCTTAAGTGGAAATTCGCATGAATTCGTAATCCGGAACACGCTCCGTTCCAAATTCAAGATGAAACAGAGAGGAGACTTCTGGGGCGTAATTAAGATTCGGTTTTTCCAGCAAACAGAAAACTTTTCCCTCGCCTGCAAAATAATCAATTAGCACGCGCCCCAAAAAGGCTGCCAGCCAGCCAGCCAGCCAACCCCACTCGTTCATATTTTCTGTAAATTCCTTATCCAATCCTTATCCCACGCAATGGATGGCCCAAGCCCACCAATATCCATTGAATTGGGCATAAAATATATATTTTTGCGCGTGGCAATTTCCATTTTCATCTCGCTGCTTCGCTTTTCCTGCTACTCCCCCAAACCCTTTGAATGCTAATTGCTTTACATTGCCCCACATCAAAAAATAGTAGTTTCGTGTTGTGCCAGCGAATAAAATGTAATTAAATTTCGCTTTCAAATTTATTAGCCACGATGATCCCCATCTGCCCTCTAAAGCCAATAATTTGGGTTTAGAATCCAATGAAATACATATTCGTATTGTGTGTATTTCTCATTTGGTAGAGAATTCTTTTGGAGGCAAAAACAAAGTTCAAAGGAATAAATTAAGTGCCTGTGTCATGGGTTTTTCCTAGCCTTTATATATCATGCCCAATACTAAAGAGTGAACTACTCTGAAACTCAGAATTCTGTAGAACTCGGATGGGTCGATTCAACCCTCAACGGGACCCTAGACAACCAGCAATTTGGGGGCCCTCCTTTTTTTCACGCCCCTCATTTTTTCATTTGAAATAAAAACTTAGATTATTTTGTATTCTCTTGTTAATTTTCAGTGGCTTTATAATTTTTTATTTATTATTTGGTATTAGTTTTTTTTTTTTCAAAAAGATGTTCTGTTAACATTTGAATCGGTGGGGCCCCTTGAATCGTGGGACCTAATCAACTGCCTATGGGTTAATCCGTCCCTCGATCTCTGTAAAGGAAGAGGAAGCCACTTACTCCTAATCAATTCCAGGTGCTCCAAAGATGGCTGCACTTCATCTAAGTAAAGTGTTGCCCAAACCCACTTTAATTGATCCCAAGACGTCGCCACTTGGCTTTTGATTGCTTTGAAGCCACACTTGAATATTTGGTATACGGCTAATTATCATGAACCACAGCAGTCGAACATGATTTATGCAGGCAGGGCCCAAAGTCAAGGGCCGTCAGCATGCATCACTGATTATATATCCAAACAGTTAATGTCAAATTCAAATTGGTCAGTCTGTCGCCTGATTGAAATCATGTACAAGTTAACACATATTACAAGTTATCGCACCCCCTTAACTTCATCATCTTGCGCCACCCCACACATAACATCTTGCAGCGCTCAGTTCAGAAAGCTGACACAGCACTGACGCTGTTGTGGGCCGTCCCTCACTCCATTGGCCAACGGCCGTCGCCTGATTCTAGCGGATGTGCTGTGGTCAGCGAATTCCATTCTTGCATGAATGGTTCGCGAGCGGGGGATCTGGGAGTTAAGTTTAGTTTAAGATTTTACAAATAAACGAACGGTTCGTTCACTTCTACTCCGACACATGTCGTAAAACATTTATTAACTTGATTATATCGTTGAGCCTTAAGGGCCAGCGAAATAGAGGGCAGTCACCCTCTCAACGTAATCTCCATAAGAAGACCCAGTTGCCAAACGGCAACCACCGCCCCCCGCTACAAGAGCGGGACACGGGAATCCGATCGCTGCCGCCGGAGCCGCAGCTCGGACCAACACCAATTCAAGCCACCTCCCCCCGCTACCAGAGCGGGCCACCGGAAGCCGATCGCTGCCGCCGGAGCCTACGCACCGGACCGCAGCTAGGACTAACATAGATTAAAGATAATTGGCGCCCAACGGGATTGGAAATATCCTAAGAGAATCCACGTCCCCAAAAGATAAAACCATGTAAGTGACTGTTCGCAAAAGATAATAGATTTTGAAAAAAGTAAAAGAGAGAAAGAAAAATAAAAAATTAAAAAGATTTTTTTTCCATATATAAAAAGAAAATAATATAAATATAATAAATTTAAATATCTGACAGTGCAAGTGTGAACGTCACGCAATACAATAAGTTTTTGTTTTGAAACCGAATGAGTGCATCTGTGTGGTTAAATAAATGATCGCCCGAGTTTGTTCATTTGATATCTTGCTGTGTGGTTTGATTTTTTCTCAGTAATTGCCCATGAATTGGAGTTATAGGGAACAAAAAGTACAGTCCGATAGTGACGAAAGCTTAGACCTAGGGTATCGCCCCCCACAGCCGAAACAAAATCGGTCAGAAATGGATGCAGGAATGATAAAAGCATTGGTAGACGGCGCGATCGCCAACGCCCTCGCCGAACAAGAACGGCGTTTAACACAGGATTTCAGCAGTGAAATCCAAAGAATGAGGAATCAAGTGAATGCCCTAACTATAGAAACCCCTCAAGTAGAAACCTTTAAAAGAGTGACCATCGACCCTAACATAAAGTGCGAAGTTAAGTTAGACATTGTGAAATCGGTGCCGACCTTTAGCGGAAACCATGAGGAATATGTGTCGTGGAGGCAATCTGCCGTAGATGCATACGAAGTCTTTAAAATTTATGTAGGTAGCCAGGCACACTACGAGGCTGTGGCCATTTTGAAAAACAAAATTTGCGGTACCGCGCGAGCGCTACTCACGTCCCACAATACCGTGTTAAATTTTGATGCAATTCTGGCCAGGCTAGATTGCACATACGCGGACAAAACGTCCCTACGCGTACTACGTCAGAATCTGGAAATGGTTCGACAAGGTGACGCCGACCTTATGGCATACTATGACGAAGTCGAGAGGAAACTCACGCTCGTCACGAACAAAATAGTCATGTCCCGTAATGCGGACACGGCAACCATCCTGAATAAGGAGGTTAGGGACGACGCCCTCCACGCATTTATTGCAGGGCTCAAACGGCCGCTCAAATCACTGGTGCTGCCAGCACAGCCCAAAGACCTCCCGTCCGCGCTAGCGATAGCGCGGGAAGCCGAAAATAGCATTGAAAGAAGTGCATTCGCGGCATCCTACGCAAAAGCGATAAAGGACAAATCTATTGTTTACGAGGGCAACAAACGCAACAATAAATTTCAAGGCAAGCAATGGAAAGGTGAGGATAAAAATCCACACTTCATTCCTAAGCAAGGCCAAGGCAAGCCGCAAGAGGACAACCTCTGGCCAAAGCGCGGGGATACCGAAATTATTGACCAGAATAAAGTGCAGCCTATGGAGGTAGACCCTTCATTATCCAAATTTAGGCAGGACACAAGCTGGGGAAAGCCTCAAAGTAATAACAATTACAAAAGGCCGAATTCGTCCCAGCGTCAATCGGGGCAGAGACGCCAACGGGTAAATAACATAGTGCAGCAGGCCTATAACCAGGAAGAACAAGAGTACTCGAATACAGCCGAGGCCGCAGTCGCCGAGATCGACGAAGAAAACGACCCGACCGGCAACGACTTGCTTAATTTTTTAGACAGCGCTCCCAATTGCCGTTCGTCGAGCGACAATTGGCGGGCAAAACACTAAAAATTCTAATCGACACCGGAGCGGCAAAAAATTACGTGAAGCCCATAAAGGAGCTAAAGAACGTAACTGCTGCTGACTCCCCCTTCACAGTGAGCTCAATACATGGCTCCAGTGAAGTAAGAAATAAGTGCATAATGTGCATTTTCGGGCTAAAAGCCCCATTTTTTTTGTTGAACACGCTAAATACGTTTGATGCCATTATAGGTTCCGATTCACTAACGCGAGCGGGAGCGGCATTAAACCTGCGCGACAAAACAATCAAATACGGAAACGTAACGGAACAGCTTCAGTTCCACGAATGCGACAGTGTAAATTTCACCCAAGTCGACGACCTAACGGTCCCAAATGCGGTAAAAGCCGAATTTAAGAAAATGATACTGAAGAGAATTAGAGTTTTCTCGACCTCTAGCGAGGCGCTTCCCTTTAACACCTCAGTTATCGCCACCATTCGAACCGAGAGTAATGAACCAGTCTACTCTAAATTGTATCCCTACCCATGGGAGCAGCAGACTTCGTGAACAAAGAAGTCAAAGAACTACTGAAAGACGGAATAATCAGGCCATCTAGGTCACCGTATAACAGTCCGATTTGGGTCGTAGACAAGAAAAAGACCGACTCCAACGGCAACAGGAAGAAACGGCTGGTAATCGACTTCAGGAAACTGAACGAGCGAACTATCGCCGACCGATACCCTATGCCTAGCATACCCATGATTTTAGCAAATTTGGGAAAGGCAAGGTTTTTTACCACCCTAGATCTGAAATCAGGGTACCACCAAATATATATGGCGGAAAAAGACCGGGAAAAAACTTCGTTTTCAATAAACGGAGGAAAATACGAATTCTGTCGCTTGCCCTTCGGACTTAAAAATGCGGGAAGCATTTTCCAAAGGGCAATCGACGACGTTCTACGCGAACAGATTGGGAAAACATGTTATGTCTATGTAGACGACGTAATAATTTTTTCCGAAAACGAAAAAGACCATGTCAGACACATCGACACGGTACTGAAATGCCTGTGCGAAGCTAACATGAGGGTGGCCCCGGAAAAGACAAAGTTCTTCAGAGAAAGTGTTGAATTCTTAGGCTTCATAGTGACCAGGGGCGGAGCCAAGACAGACCCAGAGAAGGTGAGGGCGATAAAGGAATACGCTGAACCAAAAACGCTGTTCAGCCTCAGGTCATTCCTCGGGTTAGCAAGCTACTATAGGAGCTTTGTCAAAGACTTCGCGGCAATAGCAAGACCCCTAACTGCCATACTCAAAGGAGAAAATGGCACGGTCAGCAAGCACATGTCAAAGAAAGTTTCGGTTCAGTTCGATGAAACGCAACGCGACGCTTTCGGCCGCCTGCGAAACATACTGGCTTCAGAGGA